TATTTTCAGGGCTAAAGTTTCGATAAACTCAGGTTCATGATAAAAATTTTATAGCAAGAATATTTAAGAGGTAGTGCTGCTTACCACCTATTCTATCATATTAATGTCTCTGTGTCTCCTTTTCAGTGATGTTAAAATCAGTGGGTTCAGATGATGGCAGTCTGAAATTTCTGTTGCACTGCTCTTCATCAGCATTTTAACTAATGATTTTAACATTTATCTGGAATCATTGCCTGAGTAAAATTCTTTAATTCTATCATTCCTCTTGAATTTATTACTGTGATTCTTTTATCATAGCTAATAGTAGAGCTATTCTTCATCAACTATTTGATTATTCTGAGACACAATTCTTACAGGAAAGGCAGAATACTCAATTCTTGCCCTTTTTAAATTTTTATAACAAATCTCAGAATAATGAATTTTGCATTTAGCAAAAATAACCAGTGATTTGTGTGTATATTAGTATGAAATCATAGATTTGTAGATATTACATGTGTTTCTATCCACTGATGTCATTGTTCTTTTTGAGCTCAAGTTATTCCATCTTTGCTAGTGGGAGATGTTTAAATCTCCACTTAAATGATAGTCTTTACAAGCACAGTAAGAAGTCCCAGGTTCATCTCATACATTTCCTACCTGAGATCTTAAATCAGCCATTTCTCCAAGAAATGTCCTTTTAATGGTAAATGGAATTTGGAGACCACGTTTTGTGTGCTATTTATTTATTTGTATTATTTTTCCATTAAGGGTGTTCATTGCTCTTCTAGACTTTTGTAGAACAAAGCTAAGAATAGGTTATTTATAAGAAAAAGGTTAAATGAACTATGAATTTATACTGATATTTCTAAATCAAAGCTTACAGGTTTTATTTAAATTAATTTTACAGATGTATCTTGAAAATTCACTCTTCTAATACTTTAACATTTATATTCATATATTGGCTAATTAAAACACAATTAAACTAGTTATGCTATTCACAAGAGAAATGAATGTAGTTGAAGATTTCTTTTTGGGGTGTGTGTGTGTGTGTGCCGTGTATGTGTGTGTGTATGTGTGTTATCCTTGGTATGTATGTCTCATTAGGAATGTACTGTCAAAATACTGACTTGAAATACTTATCTATGTGGTTGTAATTCTTCTATAAAGAGAAACTTTAACTTATCAAACATTTGGTCAACATATAGTTAGTTTCAATATATTCTATTTATTCTTGCTTTTTGAGGTTGCTTTGTTTTTACCTTTTAATTTAATTTTTAAATTAATGTAAAACATTTATGTAGTTCCAAAGTCAAAACTAGGAAATAAGTACATACAGAAAGAGCTTCGTTGCCTATTTGTTCCTATATCCCATTCTCTCCCTCCTTAATAGGCAACAATTTTTATTAGTCTGTAGTTTATTCTTCCATTATTTCTTTTGGAGAGTATTAGCAAATAAATACATTTTTCCACTTCTTATACAAAAGGAAGCATATATTCATTGTTTTTCACCTTGTTTATTCCCTTAATATCACATATTTTTGTTAGTCTTTCTTAGGGATAGATACCTAGACATGTGATTGCTAGGTCAAATCCATGCAAAATTTTACTAGTTATTGCCAAATTCCCTTCAGTAAGGTTGTATCATTTTTTGTTTGAGGAGATTTTGAAAATAAGATTCCCTAGTCTCTGACCTACTGAATCAGAACTCTGAGATTTTGGTTCCTAGGTGATTTACATAATCACCTAGGTGTAGGAAGTCTGTTTTACAGGAAAATTTTAGGGCTAACGTGAAATAAAGCCAATTAATTGCTCACTTGATATGTCCTAGGTATTGTGATATGTACCAATGAGAGAAATCCTAAGAGGATCCATAGTTTAGAGAGTGGAGGGGAAACATTCATAAGCAAATCATTGTAAAGTCATGTGATTGCTGGTATAACAGAAATTATACATGGTGTATAACTTATACAAATTATACATGGTGCTAAGGGAGCACAAAGAGTGAATAACTCTATGAGAATTATACCTAGGATAGACTGGGACAGACTGTTTCTAATAAAAGCATAATTATGCATTTAACAAACTCTTTATAAAACTCATTGATGGTCTCCTTTCTTGAGAAGAAATAAATCATGAATCTAACCCTAAATTTATCCCATTTGTTTTTTCTTCTTTGTTTGGTTTATTCTTTGACATGGCTTCCACTTTTTGAATTGAAATTAACATGGACATCTATGGAGATTTTTGAACCTAAAATCATAACAGCATGCAAAGTACTAACATTGTGATATTTTCAGCATGAAAACACCACCATAATCATGATCATACTGTAGTCTGCATGAAATAAAGTCATTCATGTAGCTGACAGGAGAGAAGATAAAAGTCAATAAAAAGAGAATTATTTATTAAAAAGATCTAATGTTACAAGAACAGTACACAGAACTATTATTGACTGTGCCTTCCACATGATATATACCATTATATATAGTATATATACAGATTGTATACAATATATTTAATGGTTTGACATGAAGTCCACAGTACCTTTATTTGGATATGCAAAACATTCACTTTTCATGAAATTTTTAATTATGAGGAGTGTTTTTTCCGTCATAGTTCAATTGACATTATACAAAAATACAGTCTCTTTAGTGATTTAAGACTGTGTGGTTACTATCCCATCAAAAAAAAAGCTCACTCAGTACTGCAGCTGAAAAAGAATGTACCTTGATAAGGAATGCTGTTCTACTTTTTACAAAGTAACAAGTATGTAATACATAAGTAGGTAAACATTTAAAACCTTTTTTATAGGTTTATGATGCAAAATACATATTCTGTGCAGGCTGAATGAAAACATCGCTTATCTCTGATTCCTGTAAGAAGACATCAGACATTCTACATGTAAATATTCTATCAGATGTGTACCATCCATCAGCTAGTTGGGAATCTTGGTTTATTTGAATTCGCCATATATTGACATATTTATTGGGCTTTGTTTTGTAAGAGTTTCAGTAATAACTTGATTCTTAAAGTCCCTCACTACATCTAGTATAAAACATCATGGGAAACAAAGAAAATGATTTATAATATGAAGTAAAAATTATTGTCTATTCTTTAATATTCTTGCTGCATTTTTTTTCAGATGCACAGTTTCCTTCTACAAACTATACCATACTCATGAGAGTTCATATTTTGCCTGCTAAATCATTCATATCCCTCTATCTGCAAAGTTCAGCCTCTCCCACTCCAAAGGAGGTGCTCAAAGAAGGCCACTTGGTTGTTATTATTCACAGGCTTCAATATTCACCATCTGTCATAATTTACCATAATAATCTGTTAACTAAAAATAGTCTTTTAAATCACTTCTTGTTTGTTTAGGGGTGTCTTGGACATAATTCCTCCCAAACAGAACGAGTAACCAACTTAAATTGTTGTGCTGTGGCTCTGAAACCAATCTTTTAGATATTCAGAACAGAAATTCCAATATGTCCTGATTCTAAAGGGATTAACCTCTAGAGCCAGCAGGGTGAGCTAAATATTGCTTCATTTTGCTTGCTGTTAAGGATGCTCCAAACAGAATTAACAGGCTTAGGTTTTAGAAAAGAAAAGAAACTACTTTTTGTTTTCATATTAATATCATCTGTAAAACTAGTTTCTCCAAGCTCTTTTTTGGCATTTGACTTTGCAATAACTATCCCTTCAGTCATCCTTCTTGGGTGTTATATGAACTGTGGCAGGCGGAACTTCTATATATCATCAAGTAGAAAACCTTCACTTCAATATCCAACTGTCTCGAGTCACTTTGGTTCATGGTGACTCACCAAAATAGCAAATGGGGAACATTTCCCAAGCAGTGTATGGCTAGTTAGACTAGCTGAGGCCCTGTACTGAGGCCATGTTTCCAGAACTTAATTAAAAAAATCAATTTATTCAAGAGGTCCTTTTTATTTTAATAGTTGGTAACATTTTACAAGTGGTATGTGATGCGTGGTTGTGTTTAAAAAATCAAAATTCATTTGTTATGCTTGAAACATTTTAATTCACAGACTATATATGTATGCATAATTATTTGCACAACAGATTTTAATTGTCCTTAAAATTATTGCCAATTAGAAGAAAACCGTGAACTTAATTCAACATCTATTTTGGCAGTAGGTGGGAAAATGGGAAAGCTCTGTCCTGTATTAATTTTTTTTCAAGTTAGCACCCTTCGCAACATATCAGTGACTGCAGTTTTTAGTGACCATATTTTTTGTGACTTTAATCTTTTGTTATTAAAAATAAAGATTTATTATATTTGCAGCTAGATAACATAGTAATTAATGAAAAACAATAGCACTTAAATTCATCTGGACTCTCTATTTACCTTGCACTAATGTGAATGGCTTATTCCCTACCCTAATAACTTGCTCTAGGGATGCATATAGAATAGCATATTGACAAATTTTGCTATTTCGCTATGCAATAACACAATATTTTTCAAAAAAAACTTTTGTGTACTATTCTATAATGGATCACACAACTGAAGTACTTTTTTTTTTTATATCTTCTACCAGCCTGTTAATTGGAATACTTAGCCAAAGGGAAAATGAAAAACAGTAGACTCAGAATCTTTAGCAAACTTTTCATTCTCAGTTTTGTATTTGTGTTTGAAACAGATCTGCTAGAGACCACTTACTTAACAAATGGATGGCACACACTCAGGGTCATCATATATAAAATCAAATTCCAACATATTAAAAAAGTAAAGAATACATTTGACAGAAATTACCTTTGCTTACAAAAAATTCATTACATACAATCTGCATATTTTATTGGACCAAGAACTGTCCTCTCCATTTACAAAACCAAAGAGAAACCTGATGGATAGGTAATATTCCCCCCAACCTCCTATAAGTGCACTATGTGTAGTCCCAAATTTTTAAAGCTCATCTCAGGGTCCTGGGTCTCCACTTACGCTACACTCTATTCACCGCTATTTTCAAGCTAAAGCAAAGCAAAGCAAGGTAAGTCTGCAGTTTTCACCAAGAGGTTGAGGGAATCATCAATGCCAAGAGCCATGTTACCGATGATGAAGATGGGGAGAGTGTGTGGAGGGTTGACTGGGCACTAGTGATTTTCCCACCTGTGAAAATAGAGAAGCATTAAATGGAGCTAATTATTTTGATTTTGCTTGAGCATAGAAAGAGTTGTTTTTAGGTATGTAAGACAAAGGAGTGCAACATGGATTTGTTTCTGATGAGAGTGTACTTATAAAACAAGACATTGTATAGGGCTCCCAAAAATTATATGGAAGGCAGAATTCTATATGGAATACTGTACTGAAAGGCTATGTCACATTTAAAAAAAACACATCTATTCAAGAGATTTAGTGTAATTTTCACCAATGATAGAAAACATCCCAAATTCCAGGTATGAACGATAAAATGATTTCTATAGTGTATTGTTCAGGAAAGGGAGCAAGAATAATTAGCGAAAGTTTGTGGCAATAAGAATTCATAATTCAATTACTTCAGTCAATGTTTGAATTCGATAATAATAAAATTATTTAAATTACTTAATTTACTTATGGGTTCTCCATTGATTTGTTTCGGTTGAGCAGGTTTAATTCTAGATTCTCATACCAAACTTGGCAAAGGAAAGAGAGCCATCTTTCATTACTCTTAACTATACCCAGGAGAAATTATTCCTTCTTGAGAACAAAATATTGTATGCAGTTAATGTATTAAGGTGGCTGTTTGATTAAACACACTGATCTGAACAGATTAGTTTGAAGTAGTTTTGATAGCTCCACATAATAAGCTCCACACAAACTAAGTACTATCCTTAGACCTAACTCCAGTTAATGGTTCCTCAAGTCTGAAGTATGATCATCATGATCGATATTTAATGAATGCTTACTAAATGCAATGGACTGTACTGAGCCCTTTATACATATTATCTTATTCAATCCTCACAACAGTAAGTAACGTTTTTTCCCCCTGTTGCAGATGAGGGAACTGGAGCTTAGATAATAGGACTTGCTTAAAGTCATCAAGATGGGATTAGTGGAGACAGATGCTCTTATGATTGGCCTTAATTAAAACCTTAATGATCGATTAATCATAAAATAAAGGTACCACCCAATTTTTGGAATCATCCTTCTGTCAAGTTATCTTCTCTGGCAAGAGTTGAGTGTTAATGGGATCTGGCTGTGATTTTTGTTATGGAAATCATGTCCGAATTTTTTCTCCAGATGTTTATTTAAGAGCTGGGGGGTCATTTGTTTGGTAACACACATACCACACACATAGCAGCAGCAGTGGCAAATCTTTCCTTTGAAAATCTTTACATCTAAGGCACTAATAGAACTTTAATCAACATATTGGAGAATGTAGCTTGTATTTCACCTTGTACAAAAGGAATTATTGTGAAGTGCATGGCCACATGTGAACTATAAGAAAGGCATGATGACAAAGCTTCACTGGAGTGGTATGTGCATTCTTAATAAATAAAAACTGTGAAAACATCTTTTCTATTTATGAGAGTGGCTGAGTCCTTTAAATCGACTAGTATGACACTTTTACAAAAACATCTCATTTTCAGGATGCTCAGTAGGGATTATATCTAAAATTTCACAAAGAATCCACAAAACAAAAACATTATTTTGGTATAGCAAATCAAAACAAAACACAAACAACAACACTGGACTAAGTTCTAGTTCCACTTGCAAAGCCAACTAGCTATTTCACTTGAGCGAGTCCTTGAACGTCTTAGGGCTTTTGGTTTTTGGAAAATGATAAGAATGAAACCAATTGTTCATTTTCTATAGGTCTGAGATAGACAATATTAAGAGTTTTCATTTTATTAAAACTCAGAAAATGGATTGCACTAGCCGTATTTTTTTAACTAAAATATAAAAGTTGACAATTTGTTTTTCATAGAATAGATGTTGAAACACAGTGGGAGAATCAATGTCTTTATAAATACTTTCAAACTTGGGGCTGATATTGTCCAGATGATATTTTATAATCTGGTTGTCTTAGACTTGACAGGAACCTTGAGGAGTCAGAGAATAATAGAATATTTAGAAGTTGCTAGAAGGATAAAATAATATATGAAAAATACCTAGTGTAATGCCAAGAACATGATCATGGGTCAATAAATTCTCATTGTATCATTGTTTTTAGAAATTTGAGACGATGCAAGCAGAGAGTTGCCATTTTTTCGCTTTTCAGAAATAATCTTTAGTCTTTCAAGATGCTCTTGAAAATTTAACACCCACATATGAACAGTTCAATTGTAGTAATCAATGTAGAGACATTATTACCTCTCTTGCACTTGAAGCTATACTTTTATAAATGAATCATAAAGTGTGTTAAGTTTTAGTGTGGCCACAATGTATTTAAATTCTTAGGTTTTTTCACCTGAATTTCTGAAAAATGTCAGATTTCCTATATTTTATGTTTTTTATTTTTAACTTTTCATTTTGAAATAATTTTAGATGCACCAAGAAGTTGTAAAAAAAGAGCAAAGAATTCATCCAGATTCCTTAAATGTTTGTTTCATCATAGTTATGTTATTATTCTCTCTATAAATACATATATTTTTCCTGAGTCACTTGAAAGTAAGTTGCAGACATGATGTACATTTACTTCTAAATACTTTAATGTAGAGTTCTTAAAAATAAGACATTTTCTTATATAGCCACAGTACAATTTTTTAAGAAAAGGAAATTATTGATATATATATGTTATCTAATCTAGACATTATTCAAATTTTATCAACTGTCCTAATTATATCCTTTATCTCATCTTATATTTTTCTGTAAGAATTTACTTGTCAGATATTATGTAAACTTTTCCTCAAAGCTTCAGTCTAATTATTTTCTTCCTTATATTTGCCTTCTATCCCACTTTGTGGCATCAAAAAGGTCATATGCAATGCTTCTGGTCTTAATCCAAATTGATAAATACGTTGAATGCAGCAAAGCCACATGCAGATTCCTACAGGATATCACTGGATACTTCCCTTTAGGCTGACAATTCTGCTTGAGAATGATTACTCAATAAATAAGCTCATAATTGCCCATTAATTAAATGCACATTAAACATTTTTTATTCAAGAATTCAGGGAAAATTGCCTAATATTTTCTTAATGAGATATTTGTATACTTTATTAAATCTTGTGTTTTTTTTTCTGATTACCTCAGTGAAATGGTTACTCATTTCTAAATTTATAAAATTTCTCTTCCTTTAATTTCCTTGCTGATGTAATAATGATGGTAGTGGTGAAGATACGTGGCCTTGGAGACAAGCATACTTGGGTCCAAATCCTGGTTCTTCCACTTAGTGTGATCTTAGGCAAGTTACTTAAATTTTCTCCTTAAAATATGAATAATGTCATCTTCTTCATATAATTATTACTAAGACTAAATAAGATGATGTATAAGACTTATGACAAATCTTAACACATAATAAGGGCTCAATAAAAGCTAGAAATTATTAATACTGCTAATAAAAACTATGAGGCACAAATAAGTTCCAGTGATCTAATGTACAGCATCGTGGTTACAGTTAATAATATTGTAGTACACACTTGAAAGTTGCTAAGGGAGTAAATTTTAAATGTTCTTACTACAAAAAGAAATGGCAGTTATGTGCCGTGATGAAGGTGTTAGCTAATGCTATGGTGGTAATAATTTTGCAGTATATAAATGTATCAAATCAACAAGTTGTATACCTTAAACCTACAAAGGGTTACATGTCATTTATATCTCAATAAACCTGGAAAACAAACAAAAAATGATACTCAATAGAATTTACAATTTACTCTGAAATCAATAAAGATGATCCAAATTTAATTTTAAGAAGCAGTTCCTTTAAGCTCTTCTGTACCCATTCTCCATTATTTAATGATAAAGGTAATCAAAGTAATAGAGAAATAGGTATGTTAAAGTTGTGCACTGGCAGTTTAAAAGCAGTATTGCAAAGCCCAAATGGCCAGCAAGGTGCTGCTTGAGACTAGGATGGGCAAGGGAATTTCCCAAAAATAAGCGCATTCTAATGAAACATTCTAATGAAAAATCCTTTCTAGATTTATAGAAATTCTGCAATTATGGACATAAGGGCAACATTCTTATTAATTGGAGGATGGTATGGAAATCAGAGTGAGAAGTGAGACCCTTCCGAAGTTTTCACCCATGCAATCCATCATATTAATTTTGGTGAGGTTTACACTATTTAACATTGTTGGTGGTCATCAAATTAAGCCTATTATGTCAAAACTTACCTGAATAGGATGGTACCCTGATTTGGGAACTAGCTGTCCCATCCCCTCCTTCACTGTATGCTCGAACTTCAATAATATAGACTCCGGCATCTGGCAGTGGTACTGCTGCTTGAGGTTTCTGTGTTTCAATAACTTGACTGTTGCTGTGACCCTCTTGCCTATAAAAAACCTGGAAATAATAACAGAGATTTGAACATTTCATATTCAAATGAAGATTCCAAATCTGTATTGACTGACTACCATATGTCACATTTTGAGCTAAGGAAGCCTATGGCTTTGACAGATATGTAAGTAAATGCAATGTATGTGCTATATGGAGCAGTGGAAGTGTACATAAGATGCTATGGAAATATAGGGAGGGTCTGTGCTATGGTGAGGGCTGTGAATTGTGTAAAACTGATGAATCACAGACCTGTACCCCTGAAACAAATAATACATGATATGTTAATTAAAAAAAAGATGCTATGGAAATACAGGAGAGAGAGTTTAATTCTGTCTGTGGATTAGGAAAGGCTTTTCAGAAGGGGTGATGCCTGAGTTAAGTATCTGAAGATGAGTGCAGTTTACCAGATGGAGAAAAGGATGAGAATTCTAGGGAAAGATAAGAAAAACAAAAATACACCTAAGCGATGAGAAACCATAACATTAGGGTATGGGATGGACAGAAGATATACAGGGATGGGGACACATGAGACTAGAGCAGCAGGTAGTGAGGGGGCATATCACTAAAGTCTTTCATTCTTGGTTATTGGAATGAATAGTATCCTGACGGAGTACTCACAGCTGTCATCTTCAAATTCAAAGGACTAAAGAGATAGTTTGTTAAATATATCAACAATATTTAACAATGTAGGAAATCACTGAAAAGTTTGGTGTTTTTATTTACTTCTGTGGTTTTTTGCTTTTCTGTGAACTGGCATTTAGATACTTTGGATAGTAAAGTCTTTTTGACATCTGTCCATTGTACTAGAATAGAACATGTATTCATGGCAAATGGTTTCAGAATTACAAATTAGAACATAGAATTATCCTGGGGTGCCTGGGTGGTTCAGTTGGTTAAGCATCTGCCTTTGGCTCAGGTCATGATCCCAGGATTGAGTTCCATATCGGGCTCCTTGCTCAGCAGGGAGCCTGCTTCTCCCTCAGCCTGCCACTCCCCCTGCTTGTTCTCTCTTGCTCTCTTGCTCACTCTCTCTCTCTCTCAAGTAAATAAATAAAAATCTTTTAAAAAAGGACATAGAATTATCCTATGTTTACAAATCAGAAAGCACAGATCATAGGAGTTACGCAATTTATACAAGATCATCTGGCTAGTTAGGGAAGAAATTACATTAGAAGGTTAAAATTCTGATGATCAGTTAACAGCTGCTTCAGAACTATATATTTTGTTTCTACTTACAGATCTGGATTCAAAACAATCTCCTACAAACAAAATTAAACAAAACACAATCTCCATATTTCTGTCTGGGCAAATTTTGTTCCATTATAGGACCTGATGCATGGTAAACTTAAGAGAAAGCTACTTCTGTTGCCATCATTGTTCATTGTCAATGGTCAGTATTTCAATTGCATCATAAAAGATACCTTAGAAAGTTAGATAAAAATTTATGTTTTTTCTTATAAAAATATGTTTTGAGCTTGGACTAACCTACAGAGAGGGAAAAGAAACTTTAGTAGAGCATTCTTGTGATATATTGAAACCTGCCTGTACTTGATCCTCCCTTTTGCATTCTGGTAATAAATGGTCCCTCCCTTTCACAGATTTAAATTTACTTCAGGGTCTCAGGAGAGAAGTAACTTCTCTCTAAAAGTATTTAGCATGTACAATAATTGTATGTATTGAAACACTTATAGGGAAGGAAGCCATAGCCTCAATGTAGTTGCAAAGTGGTAAGAGTTTCATCAAATATTTATTGGGCATATCATGTGGGCCAGGCACAGTGTTATATATTGGGGATTCATAACAGAACAAAACCACATGTTCCTGCTCTCATGGCACCTGCAATATAATAATGGGGACAGATACCAATGCAGGGAAGTGTAATAGGAAATGTATTTGGTGATATAGCAATGCACAGAGTAGTACTTGGTCAAGATTTGGGGAATCAGAAACATTTCTCAGAGCATGCCCACAGCAGGTTCTTTCAGCTTAAAAAATGACAATTGTATCAGAATTTATGCTTCTTATTTTGACTGTAGCAGTGTAATGAATTAGAATTCTGATCATCCACAAGAGGTAATTAGAAAGCAAATTGATGGCAATGGGGAAGTATGTAAATTGGTGAGGATTGGCAGGGGAGTGACTATTTTAGAGGACATTGTTATTATGGTTCAATAAATTACAATTCTTATGACAAAGAAAAATGCAGCTAGTAATGCATATCTAATGTTGCTGTAAAATCCAGAGTTGAAGAAAAATTTGTGGATCAGTTGAGATTTGGAAACAAAAGGTAAAAGCAGGAAAAATACCAGTTAATAGTAGCAAAAGGAGTTTGAGATTAAATGTGGCTCTTACCAGTACATCCAGGGAGATGTGATGTTATGAGTCAGTAAGTAGGTATACTAAGTGAAAAGATACATTAAATTAATGTCTTAGGTGCTTGAGAGAATCTTGGCTCATCTTAAAATCCTGATTTAGTAAAGATGAATGAGAATGAGAAATATGAGAAGGTTAAGGAGTTATCAAGACATGTCAGAAATAGTTATTGACAATAAGGAGTCCAGGGAGTACTGTGAGAATCTGGACATTTACAGAACGGCGGTTGTGATGACAGCTATCTTTAGGCATAAAGGAAATTGTATTTTCAAGACTATCCTCAAATTCTACTTAACAAGCTGGGAAGAATGAGTTATCCAAATAAGTGATTCTAAACAGAAAATTAATGTGGTACTGCAATTCTGAAAGGCATGATCTGGAAACAGCTAGTCTATTTTGATGGTAACACAGTAATGGTGTGAGTAGGCTTAAATATTTAACAGTAAATTTTTGCTGGTTTTACCCATGAGTGCCCCATAATCCATGAGAAGGATGGATTCTATTAAAGGGAAGGCCTATTCAGCACCTGAGCGTCTTGGGATCTTGGGAATAGTCAACAGGGACATCTGCTCTTCATAATGGAAAGTGAGGAATCTGAAGGCCCAGAAGCAATAGGAGGGTAAGAATTCAGCAAGATGATAGAAGCAACATGAAAAGAAGTTGGGGAAGCGTAAGTACCAGTGAGAAGCCACTGACTGGAGGATGGCCAAAAGCACTTTTAAGAACAGGACTTTCTATGGGCAATTTTCAGATATTTGCTTGTATGGTGTGCTTTTCATTCTACCTGCTCCCGCCAACATTTCTATCAAGTCTACTTTCTACGTGTATATATTTGATATTATATAAGCCATTTTTGTTTCATTTTGAAAAAGTATTTTATCATAAAAAATTTCAAGGAAAATCACATGTAAGAGGATAGTATAACTCATTATATATGAGTCATTTTAATTTGTGGGTATCACAAGAAAGAGGCTGAATCCCATACATGGAGTGAATATAAGATGAAGGAACAGCTGCAAGATACAGGAAATCAATGAGACTAGAATGGCCAAAGACATTAAGCTCCCTTGAGAAGCTGGATAAATATAGAGGTGGTCTTCAGAATTCTGTAGGATGTGGAATAAAATATCAACCCAAGCGTACATATATTTCAAGAGTCTGGAAGGTCCTGATATCTAAGTTGAATAAATAAACAAAAATTTCTATCTACATTGATGGAACACATTATAACCAGTAAACTTTGAGCCTGATTTTTCCCCTACTCTCCCTGGCTCTGTAAACAGGCAGAAAGTAGAGGTAAGGGGGAAAGATATATGGAGAAAGGGTTGTATATCTAGGAAAGGATACTTTTTAGTTGTAGCCTAGAAAACAAGTTAAGAAAGCTTTCTCTGTTAACATTTTGTCCTTATATATGTTGACACTTCAATCTCTGAAATTATGTAAGGAAGTAAGATCCATGCTTCCTAGAAAATGGATTGGTTGAATGTCAAATTCCACTATTTTATCTTACTCTTTTTGTTATTTTTAAAGAATGATTTCAATCCTGTATTTAGTATCCTAACTATAAGAAAACAGTTGAGTGTATTATTTATGGACCAAGTCTGGAGAACAAATCTATTTTTCTCCATATTTATCACTTTTCAATCATTTTTACAATCTGGAAAACTTCTAGATGAAGACTTTTCTGAGTTCATCTACTTTGGACTTAATATAAAAGGTGGAATACACAGTCCTTGCATTTTAAACCTCAGGCATTGACTCCCAAGTTTCCCATTCTCAAACTTACATACCATGTACATTTCTAGTGATCTCTTTTGCTTATAAAAGTAAAGTAACTTGGCAAAGACAAAGAGTAAAAACAAATTTACTTCTCTTTTTTTTTTTTAAAGATTTTATTTATTTATTTGAGAGAGAGAGAATGAGAGATAGCACGAGAGGGAAGAGGGTCAGAGGGAGAAGCAGACTCCCTGCTGAGCAGGGAGCCCGATGCGGGACTCATCCCAGGACTCCAGGATCATGACCTGAGCCGAAGGCAGTCGCTTAACCAACTGAGCCACTCAGGAGCCCATACTTCTCTTTTTGATACTACAATTAATTGTGGAAGCTTTCTCTTACCCTGTTAAGCAGGACGTCCTCTACCTCAAATTGCCTCACAGAGAAATAATGTGCTGACTTGTACCTACTTTTGTTAATCTTTTGTGGCTGCTGTATGCTATTGTGCTTAAGAGGTGGCTTACTGTTATACCGGTATTCTTGGCCCAGTGGTTAGGTCACTCTTGGTCTGGCAATAATTTGGGGGGACATAGTAGAACTCAAAGAGGTTTTTTTCCCCTGAGTTTCATGCTCAGTCTTGGCCACTCCATACTTGTGTGAACCTCCATCCAAATGGTACAGCTCTTTAGCTGCAGTGCAGATCCTTGCCTAGGCTGGAGGAGTTTTCCGCAAAGTCATGCTCAAAAAGGGGACTACAAGCTTGTGTTCTCTGGGTTACAACACTGTAGTTTAAATTTGCAGCTATTGTTTGTAATCACATTCCTGGCCCTTTGTGCCTGTGTCAGGAGGAGCTTTCATCCTTAGCTACCTGCTCTGTGAAAACCAGACTTTCCCAGGAGAATCCAGGCTCTGTGTTAAGCCGCAGTCATTAAGTCTAGTCCTTTTTCCCTCATGGGGCCCTTTGTGACATTTCCACCAACAGGTCTCTCATTGGGGATTATCCTGTTCATTAGAAATTCTAATAAGATTAGTCGCAAAAGAACAAGCTTTGAGGTCTCACTCCATTTGTTATCAGCAGACTCCTTTCTTAGGATGAGCTCTTTGTTCTCAAGGACATAAGGAAGTATAACTATTTCAAGGAAGTAAAAGAAAAGAAATCATCTACCAATGTGTACCTACTTGTCATTAACTTATACAACTAAGATGGAATATGCTAGTGATTCTTTCCCCAGCAAGAAGGTATTCCAAGGTAACTTCTGCTGTCTTCATTTAGACAGAACTGTCAGGCAACTTTCAAAGATCAGTTCCTTTTGTTAAAATTTCACCTAACCAGATATTCTCTTCTCAAAACAATTAGAATAAATAGTAGCTATTTTTAGATCACCTTCTATATGCTAATAGCTATAAGCTATTTTACATAAATTATTTAATCCATAAAACAATCTTGTATGATAAATATTATTTTATTGTTATTTTTGCCATTTTGAAGTTAAGAAAATGAGACTCAGAGAGATTAAGCAACTTGTTCAGAGTTACACAACTAGGATTTGAATGAAAGTCTGACTCAGAAGCCAGTGTTCTTTTCCAACTACACTTAACAAATGGGAAGACCATGCTGGAAAAACATACATCTGATAATATACACTTATGAGTAATTGCATAATATACTTCTAGCTGGGTTAAATTAATTTATTCACCCATTCTAGAAACATTGGAGATAAAGTGATGAGAAAGAGTTTCTGCCGTCTATCACATATAGTCTGGTTGGGGAAACAGCCACATATAAAGAGGAAGAACAGTGACAGAGATAGATGGGGTAATTGTGAGCAAAAAGAAGGATTACCTTGTTTGGGAACCCTATGCCCAACCTCACATATTCTTCAGGTCTTATTACCTGAGAGGTGCCTTACTCTGTTTCTGTCAGATGGCCATATGCTTTCATGTAGCTCTAACTTGTTTTCTACTTTGCCTCTCTAGTTTGGGAGTTTGTTTGCCCTAGTTCTAATGATATTAGATTGGTTCTTGGAAGGCATATCACCATTTATGGCCATACTGCTACATCTAATTATCGAAGGTATATTTGCCTTAGAGGAAAAGTTGTAAGGACATGGTTATTTGGGTAAGGGCATAGAAGAAGAAGGCAAAGGGAGGGGTATAAAAAATGGCTCACTTGCCCTCCCCAAAAAGATCAAATTCAATATCTCTGAGGATTAGAACAGATTTCAGTATGTATGTTTGAGTAATGAGGGTGTCTGCCATCCATACTAATTATAGTCTGTAAGAAATAATATAATTTGTGTCTTAAAATATGATTAATGGGAATTACTTACCTTAAAAATATATTTCATTTATAACTTCTTAAGTTTTTACCTTCAGAATTTTAGCATTTTATATACAAAATACTGTGTTACCATTTCTGTTAATTGAAAAGCCATATAGATGATGATTTTCAGTCTAAATATTATTAACATGCTTAAAATTTCTGATATAAGTGATATTCAGTGTGTGGTTCTGTATGGAGTTTAAGACAATAATAAACTCTGATGAAAAAAGAATTTGAAATTCAACCAAATCAATATATAGATCACATATATTTTAAAATTAGAGACAAAGTTGTTTTTCAAAAACAAACTAAATATTTTCATATTTCCAGCTCTCTTGCTGGCACATTTCAGGATGACTGTATGTGAAATGCTATGTCTATTTTGGAGCTTGCTATCTCTCCATGGACTCTTTCTTAACCCAGTGTGCTGGCCTTAGCATTTCTTCTTCTTTTTTTGCTAATAGTCTTTCCACCAAAGTTAAATTATCCAGTCTTTGTCATCTGCCAGAAAAATTTGTCTTCAGAGAGAAAATGCTAGGACTCTCTCCTTAAGTCCTGATAGTCCCGACACTGTTTCACAGAGCCATCTTCATCCTGTATTCAAATTGTTGCTGCTTTTCCTACTCATTCCCTTCCTATGCCTTGAGCAGTTAAAACTGATTTTGACTGTCTTGGCTTACCTATTGTGGGAAGCTTTCTTCTAAGTTATAGGTAGAAAATGATTAGGAAAAACAGGTATGTTAATGACCTTTTATGCCTTATAATTGTACATCCTCATAATAACAATTTTTAAGATGAGTGTCTATACAAGAGAGTGAAGAAACATACTGACCTTGTAGCCCATGACTTCAGATTCATTGGCTAATGGTCTGACTGGTTCCCAGCCCAGAAAAAGCTGAGACCCTTGCTGTTCCCACCTGAGATTGCTGGGTGCTTGACTAGGGGCTGCAAAATAAAAAGTGAAAGTGAACAGACAAGGAGTCTTAAATACATTTCTTCACTTAAATCTTTGTATTTTAATCTTTTCTTGTGTGTGGTAGTTGGCTGGCACCATAGGCTTCTTTCCAGCTGGAGTCAGATAAGGAGGGTTTTTGCTCCATAGTGTCATTTTAATAGCTACTCTACTGAGCTTTTGAACCAGAATCCTTTTATCTTCCTTCCTGTGTCAAAATCGCTTGGCCTTATTTCACAGGAAGATAATCTTTATCTACTGTGAATGCAAAATTTTCTGAGCTAGTTTTGGAATTCAGATCTAAGCTTTCAAGCAAGACTATGAATCAAAACTCCCCTTCAACTCTCCTTATTTTGTACCTCACAGGGCTTTCAGAAATGTTAAAAGATGTTTCCCTTTTGTCTGAAACAAACAAAAATCCTAGGTCACTTACGGGATTTCTTGGTGGTTGCACTCACTTCACTGCTAGGTGGCCCATATCCAGCTCCATTATAAGCCCTCACTGTGAAGTGATATAAAGTGTTTCCTTCTAATCCTGTCAGAATGACAGAGGACTCATTCCCTCTAGTTTTGACTGTTTCTGCAGCATCTTCTTGTTCCATGTCTTTCCGATAACCAACCTGTCAACAAATTATTAAATGACAGATTAATTTTGAAGTTTCTTCCATGCTTGTGATTGTTTAGTTTTCCTAAAGCCCTAAGAAATCACTTGTATATCATCCAATGAACAGGTATTACTAACAAGGCAAAATCAGTCTTAGTCACTGCCTGATTTGCATCTGTGTGCATCTTAGCAGTACTCAACAGAGCAACAAAAGGTGCTACCTTCTAGCCTGGTAGCATGAGTTGCTTGGAAAAGAGCCCAAAACACATCCTGACATTAAGGAAGAATCATTCAAAGAAATTGAAGAAATGCTCTTCTCTTATAGGTTATCAGAAACTTTTACCTTTCAAAGCTATGGAGCTTTGAATGAATTATTTGAGAAAGAGACATGAACAATATTTCCTTCTGGGCTCCACATGAAGGGAGAGTCATATAAGCTGTATGAGTTTAATAGAGAAGAGGTGACAGAGAACATTCATAACACCTGGGAGTAGATACCTATCACACTGCTAGGATATGGGAGGGAGGCAGAAAGGAACTTTTCCGTCAAAGCACAATTTATGCATTGAGATAATCTTTCCTGATTATAAGTTCATGGTGATGCTCTCATACCAAACTTGAACCCTTTGTGAGTTTAAGTAACTTTTTGTGTAACAATATTTAAGTGGATAAAAGAATAGTTTTTATTCCTCTACTTACTTACTGTGGTAAAAGTAATGGGAACAGTAGCCCCCCTAACCCCCATTAATTACCATGGTGAAAGAAGTGGATCACTGTACCCATTTCATCCTCCTTCAAGTGCTTTGTAGAGACTGAGAAGCCAACACCACATTTTCCAGAGGCTTTCAACTAAGGTTGCTGCTACACAGTATAGGCAGTGAGGGGTTTTTGTTTGTTATTTGAAATATTCTGGAGCATGCCTAAGACTGCCATTTCCAGCTATAGCCAGAGGAAGTCATTATAGGCTCTTGTGTCTTAGAAAAGAAAAGAAAACAAAACAAAACATTTGAGTCACCGTATCACCTCAACCAGCCTAGGTGCTGGCTGAAGGCAAAGGGAATAAGAAATGGGTAGAGGAGGAAGGAAGTTAAAAATTGTAACTGCAACTTTATGAAATGAAGACTATAATAGCAATACTTGCTTCCAGGTACAGTTTTGTGTATACATATTAATGACTTGGGCCCCTTCCTTTTTCTGATGTTTTATATAGTGTCGTAGGTAGGTAACTTTCTAATGTAGTTCATTAGAGGAAGAATAAACTTTCACCCTGAGATGGACAGATTTACTGATGGAAATTTCTCTGACTTTCCTGCTTAGGGAAAGGGTCAGTACATTTTCATTTGTAAAAGTGATATTTGTACCATATCAGTATGGAACACGTTTTTTGCTTATTGTTGCTTATGAGGGTTGTTGAGTGGGGAAAAGGAAGTGTATGTATGTTGAGTAACCAAAGGCATATGGTACATTAGTGTTCAACACCCATTTCACTCTCATTCCAGTTATCTCCCTGTACTGAAGAGGATGGAGAGATAAAAATCTTATTTCTAAGGTTCCTTTGCAGTTAGGACTCAATGTGTTGTAGCTTCAGCCAGTCAGATGAATATGCCTGAGATCTGAAAGTAAAAGTGAGATGGAGATTGAACTTCTGCTTCTGCATTTCTGCTGGTAAGCGCATTAATAGAGTCATTATTTTTCCTTCCGTCTTGGCCCCCCAAGGGAGCATTAGTAAGTGACTCATTGTTTAACCATTAGCTTTATGAGAGTCGAGAATCAGGGTACGGGACATCCATTTTGTTGGTGCAAATCGTAGTTTGCATGGTGGGATTCTGGAACTGGCAACAACAGTGGAGGTCTACAGATCACAGCAGCTTCCTGAATGTGGCACCATCCTGATTATAGTGGCTTCTTTAACCATAGCAATGGAGTATGCTTCTGGGCCTGGTGGCTTAGAAGACATCTTCTTTTGTGTTGGTTCTATAGTTTGACTTTAAGAGTCATTCTTGATCTTTCAGGTCACCCTGAAGTCTGTTAATTTACATTGATAATTTTGTAAAACATTTAATAACAATAATATTTCTTACTTAAACTATTTAGAGTAATTTAGTTCTTTGTGACTAACCCCTATCTGATACATCTACACAAATCTCATGTATCTTTGTATATATCTATCTCTTTATTTTCTTCAAAGGCTAAAAAGGTAATTCCTATTTCTCATCTCTGTCTCTTCACAGATTTGAACTGGTATACAGCTGAGTGACTGAATTTCAAATATCTGTTTGATTAAGCTGGAATCCTCTAAAATCCTAACTTTTATATGATGAGCTTAACTTGCTTCATCTTTGAGAATATTTTAAGTGAATAAATCTAAGTTATTTTCAAACTACAAAATCGGCTGAGATGTCATTAGATGAACAAACACATATCTTTCCTTTCCAGTGATATATCTGATTCCCACTTCTCTGTTTTAATTTTCTTTAATTAGTTAATTATTTTAAATTAATTAAATATATGTATTTGAGGGAAACAAGTATGATTAAATTCAATAAATTTTGATGCAGATTTGATACAGATTTCACTATAAATTTTGTCTTCTAAATATTGAATGTTTAATGTTCTGATTAATCACCATAAAATTAAACATCCTAGTGAAAGATAAAATGTTTCTTAAGTAACTGCTTGTGAAAAAGAAAACAAAAACAAAACCAAATTCCAACTGAAATCTACACAGTGTATTCTGAAGTATGCTTCAGGTAAAAAATGTTCTTGTTAAAAAGAAAACAACTTTAACTGAAGGTACTCATTTAAAATAAAGCATATCAGGGGTGGGTGGGTGGGGGCGACAGGTGAAATATGTGAAGGGATTAAGAGTACACTTATGATGAGCACTGAGTAATGATATATAGAATTGCTGAATCACTATATTGTACACCTAAAACTAATATAACACTGTATGTTAACTATACTGGAATTAAAATAAAAAGCTTTAATTAAAAAAAGCAATAAAAAAATAAAACCTACAGAGAAATCTAAAAAAAAATCCACACACTCTCTTTCTAGCATGTTTAAAAAAAAAAAAGAACAAGAGTTGTTACTTTCACAGTGAAATAATTATTTGCCCCCCACCTTTTTTTTTTTATGGGAGAAAGGGTAAAACAAAAACAAAAATATTTGGAATTTAACATTATGCTTCTTTCATGATTCTTAAATTAATACGGTATTCACAAGTCACACACACCTTCTAAAGTTGAGACTTCATTCATTTTTTTCCCCCATGATTCAATTTCCATCCTGATGATATATTTCATCAAAGCATACACTTTGAACTCTATATGAGATCACTTGAAATTAGGTTAAAAATGTTTAAAAAGATATAAATATCTAAAACTGGAAGCATAGATAACCTACTATTTTATCAACTTCAGATAATTGTCTTTTGTATGTGTCTGTGTATTTCTTCCTATATTTTCATTACATATATTTAATATAATTATGTACCTATAATTTTATGTCCTACTTTTATTCTCTAACATTAGAGTTACACATAAGTATTTTCTCATTTTTCCAAGTAATATTCTATCATATGTCTGTATACCAAATATTATTTAACCAGTGTTCTATTGCTCTATTCGGGTAGCTTCCAACTAATGTTTTTTTAATTAAAATGTTGCTATGAATATCTTCATCTGTATTGTTTTCTACATATTGGATTAATTCCCCAGGGTAAAATCCCCCACGGGAGATTATGGGGTCTAAAGTAATGAAAATTGTTACGCTTTTTGATACAAAAAATGTCACACTAGTTTTCAAATAGTTCGCACAAATTTTCATTTCCAAAAAAGGTTTATGAACCTAAGATACACCATACTATTGCAAACTCTAGGTAGATCATGGGTTTGGAGCCAGAAGGTCTATATTTGAAACTTACTTTTTTTATCTGTAAGCTATATATAATGGGACAAGTTACTTGACCACTGAGTTTCTATACCCTTTTTATAAAACAGGCAAAATACTACTTACCTCAATTTCATGAGTCATTTTTAAACTGCTCCCCTATTGTCGCTAAACTACTTGAACTATTTTTTCTTGATGTTTTAATATTTCTGACTTTTCTTATTTGTAAGTCTATTAGTATCCTGTTTTTGATATCCTTCATATTATTTTGATTGTCCAATTTCGTCTCTTAAAAACTCTATTTAAAATTATAATAACATATGATGTCATTAGTGGCAGACAGGAAACATGACTTCTGAGTCAGCCAATACCTGTAAGAGTATAGATTTGAACCTAAATTTACAGGCAAGCTCTTTTTGGTAAATAGCCATTTTTTTTATCCAAAGTTGACTCTCCAGGATAATTACAATTTTAACTATGCAGATAGTACAGTTGATTTTCCGGTGTGATGGTTCTAAGATATACATGTCACACACAACCCAGTTCTTTTACACGAAGTTGCAGGATCTAAAATCTAAATCCATGATTTTTGCCATTTGTAGTAGATGGTTACTGGATGAGTTGTGAACTTTCCCCTATTTCTCAGTTTTCATACAGTTTTATATATATATATATAACTGTATTTATAAATATATATTTGAAAATATATATAATATATACATATATATTATATATAATCAGTGAATTATATATATATATAATTAATGAAGAAGTCTCCCTAATATTTTATCTTCTCCTGACTTTTGCTACCTGTTAGATTTTAAAGACACAACTTTTTTTCTTAGTTCTTGCAGTCACTTATTTCTATTTAACTGTACTTAGTGATCACTGCTCATTCAAAATTGTACTCCTTGAATTTAATAAAAATAGCTCTATTTTCTGCTGTTATTTAATGCTGCAAAAGAGTAATTGATTTTTTGCATCTTTGAAAGTAACTTATTCTTTCTTCTAGGGAGCTTAGAGGTTTTTTGTTTTTAAAATCTGAATGCATATTGAAATGTAAATATTTTATCAGGGCTTGAATTCTTAAAAATTATTAATTGAATTATTCATTCAAAAAAATTT